AACAGTAAAGAAGATTCCTGTTTGTATCCATTTACTTGGGATCGTATAATTAACAAAATTAAATCAAAACCCAAACACACAACCTTCTAGATTCTATTAAGCTCATTCTACATACCTAGATCGGACTAAACATTAATATCCAAAATAAAAAGAAGCCCAGATTAACCGTTACATAAGACGTTTAACACTTTGCCATGACCGTAGTAAAGCACTCAAAAGTCGGGAAATAAAAATAATTTAAGTTTGATTATTAAAGTGAAATTGAACGCGATTGAACCCGTAAAATAATCAGCCAAGAAAATAAAAATAAAAGTGTCATAGTGCCACACCTTCCAACTTTAAATATTCATATAATATAAAATATTCTAAAGAAAATTGAAATATTTTTACTTTAGATGGATTATTATTAAACATTGTAATATTTTTTATTGTAACTTTTTCTGATTGCATATTTTATCTGTATATTTTGAATGGAATTAATAACGTGCATTGCGTGCTTGAGTGAATTCTGTTTGGTCATGTGGCATGTGATCAACGTTCCGTAAAGACAGGTTAATGTCGCGTTGATAGGCAATCGGACATTTGTGCTCCAGGCAGGAATTGAAGCCAGAATATGTTCCGTTGTTCCTAGGGATCAAAATGGGTTATGTGCTGTATTTACTACTTAATATGTCACCAAATCACGATCAACTGTTATTATAATGGGAAAAAGTAATCTAAAAATAGTTTATAACAAATACACGTCGAAACACAAGCCGTGGCATCGGAAACGTTTCCAATGTGTCACACCTGGTGACTTGTCTTCTCCGTCAAAAAAAAAAAACCGATTATGACCAGGAGGTTCCGCCTGAAACAAGGAGGTGGGTATCAGTTTCAGGTGAAGCCAGTTATATTTCACTGCAAACGGCAACTAAGCAACGTTTTTTTTTCATAATTTAAGGTTAAGGTTAGGTTAAGACTTTACTTTTTTATTTTACAAAGCGTTCTTTAATCTGCAAAAGGACAGCCTCTGAAGACGGTTAATATTAATTTAATAATATTTTTCAATTTAATAATGTTAACGGTTAACCTTTAAATTATTTTATTCTTTTTTGAATATTTTTTTTTTTTTTGGAGAAAGGTGACAAACGAGCACACAGTACACCTGATATAGTAAGTTGATGCTGTAGGCCTATAGATATCAACATCTATCCTCGAATAGGATTCAAAATACAAATGCGTTGTCACCCTTGACGTCTTAAATAGAATGCCTCGTTTCCAGTGAAAGAATCTCCGAGTTTCTACACTTACTATACGAAATACAGCACCAGTACGCTGCTATTTAACGCTGGTATTCTGTGAGATCGTCATTACTTCGTCGACATGATTAATTATTCTAACATATTTTTACGTAGTAGTTTTTATATCTGATAGCAATAACATTATATTAATTAATTAATAGCTGTTATATACTGTCCATAATTGAGATTGATTAGCAGGCCCAGACTAATCTTAGTAAAAAAAAACTTATGATGATTGCGTCTTTAACGGCGACTTAAAACACCGGCGACCGGCTAAACATATAACGACGCGACGGCGAATACGCTGATATCTAACTAGTTTCCATTATTATTTATTAAATACAATATCAAAATCGTGGTACTTACTTCCTTTTTCATTTGTTCTAAATTTTTGGCCGATAGGTTGTGGTTAAAATTAAGTTTAGATAGCTTAGCATGACAAAGATAACGTAAGCTTAACGCTCAAAACTAAATCTATGTTTAGGCAGTAAATTCTTAGGTTATTATTTACATTTATATTATCCTTAACAAACATATATTATATAATATATAGTTCTGAAGTAAAAGACGAATGACGAATTTGATAGGATAAGGCCAATTTTTGATATCCAATTTTTATTGAAATAATATATCACTGTAGTCGGGTTTTTTTTTATAAGAATTTACTTCCTTGTACAGCTTTTTATAAAATTATGTTTAAAATTTATTTTAATCTACTAAGTCATAATGTTCTGGTTCTCAGTATTTTTATGTACTTATGTAGCGCAATAAATATCCATTGTAAGTAAATCTTTGCTGATTGAACAGACATAATATGTACTCATGGGCATATTTAGAGGATTTAATTCTCATTTAGAATAGTTCCCATTACGTGCTGGCCACATATATCACCACGTTCATTAAAAAAAAATGATTTTCACTTTTCTTTCAGTTAAATGTTTTTTTTTTTTTGGGTATGTGTTAATTTTATTTATGCGTATTGTAAGAAAGTTTGTTGATTTTGCTGTTTTTTACAAATTTCTGTTTATATTGTTTTTTGTCAAAAATGTATTGTTGTCGGGTTACGTAACGATCACTTGATCAGTTAAAGTGATAATGCAGGATTTCAGCATAGCAACTATTAAGAGCAGTAATTTCAACTGAAAATGGTTATACTTACAATCAAGTGGCCCAAACATTCCGAGTTTCCAAGTTTTAATGTAACAACAGTGAGGGACGATAGATTTACTTTCAATTGTGTGCTAAGAAATTTTATTTCTAACAACTTTGAGGTAAGAACTATAAGCTCCAGAAAGATCCACAACAGACAGTTAGGAATAAAACCATTTGAATACTTAAGGCCGATGGTATAGCGGCATACTTTTTTACACGTAGAGCCACGCTGCAGTTATATTATGGTTGTAGTATGTATAGGTCGGCTCGACCGGGGACGGAATACGCTCTCACAGAGTACCAGCGTTAAATAATTATTGCTGCTGTATTTCGTATGGTGAATGTAGAGAACCGAAGACTCTTTTACGGGATACGAAGTATTCCATCTTAGTCCTTAATCGAAGATACATAGATGTATATGTCTAGGGGCCACAGCATATCCACTTCTATTCAGGAGGGCTATGAGCTCGTTGGTCATCCTTCTAAAAACATAAAGATTGTTTAAGAGAATAAAGTTAAATTTTTTACTTAAATTTGATTACGACGATATTGATAGTTTTCCGTGGTATTCTTCTTTGCTGATTTTATTGTTAATACATGACAAAACGTTACTTCCGTCCGAAAAAAGAGCTGCGCTACCCTCTAAAGAAGTCGCCTAAAGAAGTTGTACTTCAAAAATGCTCGCCTGCTATGGGATCTTTACTTAACCCAGGCCATAGAGTAGATCTATACAAATTTGTTCGTACACACTGCAACTAAGATGATGATACTTGGAGATAAGTACTCTTTATCATCTTGTCCCGGTTTAGATAGTCCAGATGATGAAAATAGAGACGACCCGGAGGGGTTACCTCAGTGTAATATAAGTTGGCAGAAATCATAATTGTGGTGGTCACAGTATTGATTACGGTAGGCATATGTTGAAGACACGTATGATGGAGCTACACATCGTGGAATACGGGTTCCTTACTGGGACGCAGTACGTAACTGATAATTTAGAACGGATGAACTTTTGCCTTACACATAGAAGATAATTTTCTTATAAAGCATGATAGTGCTCGGCCTCCATACTGCAGCCATAGTTATAGAAACTCTTAGAATGAAATTAAAGTTTTAAAGACAGAACAGATAGAGAATGGTTGGATGTATAAACTGACGAAACAAGTTAAACAGAGAAATCCAGTACCAGCTGACACAAGAGACCTTAAAAGTGCATTAATAGAGACTGAGTGTGCCGAAAATAAATTATTCTGTCACAATGATTTCTTAAAACTATGATATAGAACTTTTGTCTACAATTTTGTTTTTTTTTTATATTGTTTTTTTCAACGATGTAAATTTTTGGATTAATCCCACAACAAACACGATTGTAGATTGTTTTGTGCTAATTTTTCCTTTTTTTAAGCTGGCCTAAATATGTCAATTAGTGGTGTATTTAGCAAAATGGCCCCCGTAATATTATATTTTAAGCCTGTTTAATTAAGTATCTAGGAGTAAACTGACTTGCCAAAATTTTCCAAGATACTTGCGGTAAATTCTAGTCTGTTATGTAACTGATGGAAAACAGTTGAACCAAAAGCAAAGCCAGATCTCAAAATATTCATATCGCCCTCGTAACAAACTTGAGTTAATTCAACGCCCCCAAGAGTTCTCGTCTTTGTCAAGTTCGAAAGATACGACACAGAGAATGGATAATTGGTTTGGACGCCGAAGTAGGACAGTTGTAGAGAGAAACTGTGCTTCTGTCGAAAGATAGGCATTGCCCGGTCTTTTCGTAACAGACGGGTGTATTATGTATCACAAATCATAACTTAAAAATAATTTTATTTAAAATACTCAAACATCTGCTTGTGAATAAAAGATATGTTTTAAAATATCAAGTTAAATTGATTGATGACTAGAACTTGGAACTTAATGTTTTTATTTCACATTTTTTTATTTTTTTTATCTTCTAACATTTATGTATGGTATATCTTTTGGCTTACTGAGTTTTTAATATTTAGATTCTTAAACAAAACAAGTAGTAAAATTAAAAAGAAATTGTATAACCGACTTCAATATAAATAAAATGACAACATCATCAATGTAGTCGAAGCCAATTAAATACGCATTATTAATGATAACTCAAAACTAACTGGTCGGATCGTGATCAAATTTATATGGGACCACATGAGAAGCACCAGCTTCTAAATAAAAAAGAATTATCAATATCGGTTTACCTAGAAAAAGTTCTGAGGTTATAACACACATTAAAAAAATACAGTCGATTTGAGTATTTTTCGAGTCGGTTAAACAATATATAGCATAAACTAATCACGACATGTTGTGGGATAAGACGAGTAAAAAAATACTGGACAAAAATGAAAAATATATTTTTATTGAATTGTAAATTTTATTATTGAATAGTATTTAGAACTCTGTAAACAAAATAAATATAAATAATTCCAATATTTGAGATTTAAGAAACGCGGGGATGCCGCTAAACTGACCAGCGGCATCTCCGATATTTCAAATTAACGCTAACGATTGTTCAAAAGTTACCCCGATTGAAGAGTTTGACGTTTCAAACTATTGAAAACCCGTCCGATAAAGTCGCTCCGGGTTCGCTTTAACATCGGTGCGGAAAACCCGAACACAAAAAGCCGCGCCGTATTCGCATTGCGGGCGGCAGAGTACCGGGCTGGCAGCGCGCGTTGGAGATAAGTAATTCCGTACCGCGACGGGTGGGCGACAGAGGGGGGCTGCTGGGGCGGCGGAGGGCGGAGGGGGTAAATGCCCGCGCGGCGGCGGCGGGTAATTGGTTCGCGCCGCCCGAGGCGAGCCCGTAGTATCGCGCTTTAGCGACGGCGCCCTCCGGTGTCGAGTGGGATCATAGACGAGGATAGAGCTGCATGAGATATATACATAGTAAAGAATAAATTAAATTCATAAACATATCACAGTTTTACATTGCATAACATTGTGCTGAATTTATGTTTTCATAGTGTTAATTAGGGCCGGTCACCACATGTTTTTAACCGCATTTGACCCGGACACTTTTTGTGTCCAAACTTGGAATATTATACGTGGTAGAGCCATGTTGTAGCTATATTAAAATAATAGTATAGTTATAGCACGAATGGGTCGGCTCGACTGGGGAAGGACCATGCTCTCACAGAATATCAGCGTAAAATAGAAGATTAACGCTGCTGTGTTTCGTATGATTACTGGAAACGAGGCATTTCATCTTAGCCCTCACGGATGATAACGAATCTGGATTTTGATTCGCAATCGAGGATAGATGTAGATGTCTATAGGCCACAGCAACCACTTACCATTAGGTGGACTTTTTTCACCTTTGTCCTGTATGATATGTAATATACTGCAATTTCATGAAAATAGTAATTGTACTAGACAAATTACAAAAAAATCTCATCTCTATTTATTTGTTGCAACTTTTATTACTATAAATTAATTATCATTGATAAAATCCCATAGTTCCAATCTACCTTCCTCTCTTTTATTTAATTATTATTGATAAAATCCCATAGTTCCAATCTATCTTCGTCCCTAATTAATTAAGTTTTTTATAGTTCAGCCTTTATAGTTTGTACCTGTACATAGGTCTTCTCTCATTATTGAAATAGTGTTAGGTAGAGCAAGGAAGTGTCAACCGCGCTGCCCCAACGTGTGTTGACGAATGTACTTAATATTTGTATAGTTATTTATGCATACCATAGTTTAACTGGTAGAGAATGTCATATAGGATTAAGCTCGCCTTTTGTACAAAATCTTTGGTGCAATAAAGAATAAAATAAAAAAATAATAATATGGAGTTATATAAATTTCTTTAAAACAAAACAAAATAAAAAAAACAATAAGTAACACACTTCGCAAAAGAACCAGCAGCAAAGATCCATCAACAATAAAAAAAAAATAACAGTCGACTCCACGCAAGCCCACGCAGTTTGTCACGCTACCGCGAGTTATAGCTATGTGATGCGGCCACCGGCGCGCCACTTTATACATCCGACGCTGCCGCCCGCCACGAGCCCGTGCACAAACGTGTCTATACCTACGTATGTATGCAAACCTGGTAGGGTTGCCAAGCTGCTTGTTCATTGGAGATATTTTATTTTCATGCATTAAGGCAATTAATTAATAAATGTAGATAGAGATGTCTATGCGCCACAGCATCCACTTACCATTAGGTGAACTGTGTGCTCGTTTGTCACCCTTATTCTATATAAAAAAGATTTTTTTACCTTTTTGAGTGAATTTCGGAATATCACAATCTCCATGTCGTCTAAATATAGTTACATTAAAAATTTTATTTCCTATTTTGCTGCCCTTAGCTGTGGAATTTAACTCCAAATTCATATAGGACTAACCGCCTGAAGTATAACGGTATTAAGTAAATAAGTATCATCAAAGTCAATATAAAATCAAATACAACAAAATATTTTAAAATGATTCCACATTCTACTATTTATAATTTTGTTGTTAAGTGTACAAAAAAAAAATCATGTACTTTATTATCCAACCTTTCGTTTTGCATATGGAGTGTAGAAGTAAGGAGTACAGACTAACAATTAAAAAGTGTCCATAGAAAATTAGAAAGCCGTTAAATAAGGGTGGCGCCACTATAACTACGGGGTGAATTTTAAAGAACGTGCCGAAAAATATTAGTGGGATAGACGAGTTTTTCGAGGTTATATTTACTAAATAAAATTATTTTAGATTTTAGAGCTACTGAGCAGTTTCGCAGCATACTTAAACCGTGGACAACTGCTAAGTTCATTTCATCCCAGTAGCTACTCCAGCGCTATTGTGAAGAGTTTTTGAAGTGTTATTTACTGCTTACAGATGGCCACTTTTTCAACTATTCTACTATGGAAGTTGGTACTCCTTACTTCTACACTCCATAGTTTTGTAAAAGGACATTCCCAGCTATTCGAGGCAGTGTGGCCACATTAAGATCTTGATATTGAGTGTAGAGTTCGTTACGTAGCGTAGGCAGGTATTGCGAGGCACAGCGGAGTTCTACTTTGTTTATCCCGAAACTGTTCGCGCTCGTGCCGGACGAGTTTGCTTTTTAATGGTTCAAGAGTTACGCTTGATTGACGTTTTTGAAATAAATACAGATGTGTGCGGAATATATTTTGAAAGTTTTAAAACAACTGAAGATCTAAGTATATGTGAAAGAATTTTTTATACGTGGTAGAACTACGCTGCAGCTATACTCGTATTATGGTTGTAGCACGAATGGGTCGGCTCGACCGGGGAAGGACCACGCTCTCACAGAATACCAGCGTAAAATAGCAGCGTAATACTGCTGTGTTTCGTATGGTGAGTGTAGAGTACCGGGGACCCTTTTTTACTGGAAACGAGGCATTCTATCTTAGTCCTCACGGGTGACAACGCCCCTGCGTTTTGATTCTCAGTCGAGGATAGATGTAGATGTCTATGGGCCACAGCATCCACTTACCATCAGGTGGACTGTGTGCTCGTTTGTCACCCTTATTCTTTAAAAAAAGATATTTTAGAAGTATAGAAATTTCGATGGAAACTAAGTGTTTAGTGTACTGACAGAAATTACGCTTATATTTACAGGGTTCATCTTTATTTTAGGTCTAATTGATGTCCTATATCAAACTTTCGCTGTAAACAATGTTCATCATGAAATTAATGGAGAAACTTTTTACGTGGTAGAGTGCTGCAGCTATATTGTGGTTGCAGCACGAACAGATAGGCTCGGTCGGGGAATGACCACGCTCTCACAGATACCAGCATAAATTAGCAGTTTAATGCTGCTGTTTCGTATGGTGAGTGTAGAGAACCGGAGACCATTTTAACTAGAAACAACGCATTCCATCTCAATTCTCAGGGGTGACAACGCATCTGCATTTTGATTCTTAATTGGGGATAAATGTAGATGTCTATGGGCCATAGCATTGACTTACAATTATATGGACCGTGTGTTCGTATGTGGGTGACAGATTATTCTAAAGAGAATAAGTTTATGGTGTCGTTTGTTTTGTTTTGGAATCAAATAATACCCGACAATCAGTAATCAGTAGAGCGGATTCGAGGAGGATGGCTATTCGTATTTAAAAAGTAAAGTAAAGGAGGGTAAAGTCAAAGCGTATATATGTCATACTGCTGGCCACAGACCTGTGCCTGTATTCGTATGTTTTAATTGTACTATTTTAAGCAGTTACATTTTCCTAGAAATGAATTCTTCTTACAGACTCTACATTTACAAATAATCAATCAAGTCAATGGCTCAGTGCTTAGTGTAACTTTCTGTTTGATCGATATTATAAAGCCCAGTAAAACCCAATACATTTTGTACAAAACAAATAAAGTTTTGTTTCTGGATGTAATGCGAAGCCTTCAATATGAAAGACACATGATCAATGGCCTAATGGCCTGAGCCATGAGCAGTAGCATTACTTAACACGTAAATTTAGTGACGTTGGCTGAATAAGAGACTGTTATAAATGATTGTTTTGTTTTTATTTTAAGTATCCTGCAAGATATAACCTTGCATCTTTCGAAACTATCATTTATTGTGTATTACAGCTAGCACAGATTATCTCTCGCTAAGCTATCGTCGTCTCTTTGGCCCCCTTTAAAATTGGAACCACTTTAGGTTCCAATCACATGAAACTAAATAATAATTTAATTCTCTAATATTATGAATGAACAAGAAATATTATCATCGTCCATCTTATGGTTATGAAATATCTCATTCATTTTTACGAGTATTAGAGATGGCGTGATGAGAGAGCCGTGGTATATCAGATGGTTAGCGCCATTGAATATATAAATCAATGGTTAGAGATCGCTGTAAATTTCACAGTACGTGAGCAATCCGGGTTCGATCCCAGCCAGCACCAATGAAATTGTTAATTGTAATTTTAAGTGCTGGTATACCACGTGCTCGACGGTAAAGGAAAACATCGTGAGGAAACCTGCATGTCTAAGATATAAGAAAAAAAATTCGAAGACATGTGAAGTTCGCCAACACGCATTGGGGCTGCGCGGCGGACACTTCCTTGCCCTAATACACTCAGAAATGAGGGAGGCATGTGCCCAGCTGTGGGACGTATATAGGCTTTAACTTTTAACTTTTTTTACGAGTATTAACTGCGACAAACCCTAAGCTGCTCTTTTTAAGACAATAATATATTGAGCTACTATTCGTATGCAGTAATCAGAGGTTTTAAATACTACGGTATATTCTCCCTTTTTAAGGAAAGTCTTAACAGTGGACGGACACAGAGTAATGAGAGATGACAGATAGAGACTATTTTCTGTGGCTATAAGTTCTTCAATATTTATATGACTCGACAGTAGAAAGCTGTTAAGCTTCTTAATGTTCCACTGTTCAGGAAATGAGCTCTTGTAATTTCCTTCTTTTAATCTGTCCCAATGTTTAACAGCAGTCTTGCATGTGGAGGGACACACGGGCAGAGGAAGGCCGAATAAAAGATGGATCGATTGTGTGAAGAGTGATATGAGAATGAAAGGAGTAAGTATGGAAATGACGGCTGATAGAGAGGAATGGAACAAGAAGATTTACTGCGCCGACCCCAGATAATGGGAAATGGTTTAGAGAATGATGATGTTTAACAGCAGTCTTGCAACTTGAAGAGTTTTTACTGAATTTATTATATTTTTCTTTCGATATACATTTCAATTTAATTGTAGTGAGTAATAAAAGACAGCGAATTTACTGATGAACAAATTTTATCGCATTACAGGATGTGGTGTTTTTTTTTTTAAATAATTGTGAGATTTCTACTCTACTACTTGTTCTGACTAAGCTTAGAGCTCGAAATGTTCTTCACAGTAGCCTGCAATGTGTCCCTCTGCTATAACATAACTTTAAAAGTACTCATA